GGTGTGCAGACGGGCGGGCAACGCAAATAAATGACTTGTGGCGTGTGCTGTCAACTGTTTGTCCACCCGCTGTCCGCTCGCTCTGACGACAGAGGAAAGGAGTGCCCTTCAGTTGGGGGGCTCGTTTGGAGCCTGGTGCTGTTTTGTTTTGAAGGACTGGGGTCACGCCAGAATGCAGGCCGGCACGGAGGGGACCGGACCCCAAGCATCCTGCAGGGGTTTCCAGCGTTTCAGGAACTGAACCTGGAGCATGTAGCTCCCCCTGGCCCAGAGCTGTGCTCAAGTCCCAGACCTCTGAAGCTCCAGCCCGGTTGGGAAGGAGTCAACATGAGTGTGCGCTCCTACCTCCCCTAAGTGCTGCATGATACAGCTCTGGAGCGATTCCGGGGATGGGGAGAGAGGGCTGGAGGGCTTCCCAGCAGTGGCCATGCTGCTGAGGAAGCTGGGTGCTGGTTCCAGGGAGTGGGGGTGGGCAAGGTGCACCCAGCATGGTAGGAAGCCCTAGAACATTTTGCAAACAAAGGCAGCTGTCTGGAGGCTCCTGCTGCAGAGAGGGAACTGGAACTGCTGGGTGGGCGTGTGTGCCTGCTTGTCATCCAAGGATGAGGATGGTGTCAGGATCCAGAGCTGCCTCACGTTCCTGCCCCCTGGTGTCAGGCAGCACAGACACTTGCTTATACCAGAGAGTGGTGCCCTGCTCCTACTCAGTTGCTTGGCTGTGACATTTTGGCAGGACAGGCTCTGACAGAGACTTGTTTCTTGTGAGCACACGCTAGTAGGTGTGTTGTCTTCTGCATCTTCCAGACTGTGGTTGAGAGGACTGTGAGGCTTGTCTGCGTTTTGGAAACCCTTTATAGGTTTGGTGCAGTGTCTCCCTGAAACCAGCACCTTCACCGTGATGTGGGCCACAGCCTTTTGGTTTCTCAATCTGTACAAATCAGTATTTTCCCTTTCTCTTTTCCAAAATTGGTCTTTTCTTAAAATGAGAGCTGCATGACAGGATGGAGACTCCATGGGACTGAGAAGCATCTTTCTTGTCAGCTCTTCTCATTGCTGATCCTTAAGAACCCTTTGTGTGGCCTCTGCCTTGAAAAGATTTCCTCCCACTTTGCTGGCTTCATTTCCTGGCTGTTGCCTGCCTCTGACTTCCTTTGTCTGTCAGGTGCAACCGAGAGAGGTGTGCAGATGAACACAGAAGGTTTAAGGGCACATCCTGTCCCCTTGTTAAAAGTTCACTGATGGTCTGATTCTTTCCTTGCCATGAGCTCTAGAGCCATTTCCCTTCTGAAGACTGGCTTCCCTGTGGTGAGAGGGGCCCTGCCTGGAGGCAGAGGAGGTGATGGTAGGGGAGTCTTCCAGCCTGAGCTTTGAGCAAGAGGAACCTCAATGGAGCAGCTCGCAGACATGGCCTTAGGGCCCCAAAGGAGCTATTGCCTGCTGCCTAAGGAACAGCCTAGGGTGTGAGCCATATCCAGTCCAGAAGCAAGTGGGCCAGGACACACACAACCATGAGGCTGCCCAGGAAGCCTTTGTAAGGCAGCCTGCAGTGGGACAGCTGTCAGGCTGGCCTGAGAAGACAGGCCTGATAGCCTTGTGGATCTCTGAAACTGGCCCTTCCTAGCTCCCTGGTGTGTACAGGAGCCCAGGGCAGAGTGACATTGGTTGGTGCCATTTGACCTGCAGCCCATCCTGGGCAGTCCCAAGTGCTAGGCAAGTTGGCCCCACTCCCACCATTCTCAGCCACCTCACTGGGCTGCAGAAGACCCTAAGCAGACGCAGGGGGACTTTCTGTGGGGGAAGCTGCTGCTTGCGGCTGCTGGCCCACAGTGTGCCAGGGTGGCAGTCACTGCACACCTGGTCAAGAGCTGTGCCTTATCTGTGAGTATTCTAGTCTGCTTTCTGCTCCTAAAGGGCTGTGACTCAGGAGTCACCCTGCAGGTGGATCAGGTTCCTCCTGAGCTTTCTTGCATCCTGCACAGGAGTACAGGGCATGCTGCCTTCTGGAAGAAGTGGCTGCGACTCAGCCTGACCTTTTCATGTGGCCCTGCCTGCTATGGGTAGTAAGGATTCCACTGAGATGGAAGCCAATGCGTTCACACAGTCGCACAAACTCCCCACGGTGTAGAACACTCCGCCCTGGAAAGGAGCCCAGTGCACACTGTCCTCCCCAGCCCTGGCCGCTGCAGGTCTGCCTCCATCATTAGGCGTGTCTGCTGGAACTTCGTATAGCAGCCCTGTCCACAGCACATGGCCTTGGTGTCGCCCTTGGCTAGAGCTCAGGGGCCACAGGGCACCTCTGCCTTGAGCAGGTGAGGCCCGAGCAGGCCCATGTATGTTGCTGCTTTGCTCCTCTCACGTTTCCTCCACCAGTGTCACATCCACACTGGATGCTGCCACTGTCTGCCGCCATGAACACCTTGTGCCTGGCCTTGCCAGCCCCTTCCTCAGGCTCACCAAACCCTGGGGCCAGGGACAGCACTGGGGTGATATGTGGTGCTGGCAAGACCCCCACCCACTCAGAGGAAGTGACTGAGGCCCTCTACTCTGCAGGAAAGGCTCATAGGAACTTGTGTGTCCTGGAAGTCCTTAGGTCTTAGGATGAGTCTGGCCCCTTTCAGGTGCGGGATAATCTGACTAGCCAGATGGCAGAGGGCAGGAAGAGGGACGAAGGTGCCTCAAGCTCTGGGCACCACAAGAAGGACCTTCTCTTGAGAGGGGATGAGATCATGTGAGGAACTCTGGCCTTAACCTTAACTGAGTCATCTCTAAATTCAGTACCGTTCCCACATCCCTTCCATCCAGCCTGGCTTCCCCGTCCTTACCCCATGGCCAGCCTGCTCAGCGTGCAGGGAACTTCCTGCAGTCTGCAAATTCTCCATCTTTCTGTTGGGGCTGGGCCAGCTCTGCCTCCTCCAACTGAGCTCCGTCCTCAGGGCTGGAGTCTGTGTCCTTGTGTTCAGGAGTTTTGTTGAACGGGCTGTCCCCACAGTGCTGCTGGTGAAGCTGTACTGAGGTCATCCTGTGCAGCTGGCGCCCCCTACTGGCAAGCGGCAGGTGGAAGTGGTGTGAACGCAGGCTGGAGTGTGGCCAGGCCAGGCCAGGCCCCTGCTGCCAGCAAGCAGGGCTCTGGACAGTCTCTCCAGGTGATGTTGGCTAGAGCTCAGGGGCCACAGGGGACCTCTGCCTTGAGTGTGTGTCCAGTACCTGAGCCAGCCCAAGTACAGCCCTTCCTGTCACTGAGCCCCTCCTGCCGAGGAAGCTGTCCCCAGTTGACAAACTGGCCAGCTTCAGCTCTGTGCTGTCCAGTGAGTCCAGGGCTCTTCCCACAATTGTTAGTGATTTTACTCTCTGTGCTCCTAGGCTGTCCCCTGCCCTCTGAGGTTCTGTTGTCACCCTGACTAGGAGCCCGTGGGACAGAACCTCCCCCTCCTGTAGGGCCACGTGTGCTGGAGGCTGAAGCCGTGACTCTGCCCAGCCTCAGAACACAGCAGCCCCATTGCTGGGAGGGGACCCTGCTCATCTTTTAGCCAGATGGTGCCCATCCTTCTGGTGGGCCTTGGGCACGGGCATAGCCCTCTCCAGGAATGTTTGAACAGCGAGTCCTGTGTGCTAGTGCATGAGAAGTGGCCTCTATGAGGCCCATGCTGGCCACCAGCCCTCAGGCCCATGTCCCCTGCAGGTTCTGTGGGGAGTGCCTCCAGCCGTGCCTGCAGGTGCCATCCCCCCTATGCCCGCTCTGCCGCCTGCCCTTTGACCCAAAGAAAGTGGACAAGGCTGCACATGTGGAGAAGCAGCTGTCCTCCTACAAGGCACCTTGCCGGGGCTGCCACAAAAAGGTACATGCTTGACCTCTGGGGGCAGAGCACTTGACCTCCTGGGGCAGGGCGGGAGGGGAGGCTTCAGGCTGCAAAGCCTGCCACCTTGTCCAATTGCCAGAGGAGACTGAGGTGCTAGGGCAAGGCGACTGGAATTGGCCAACTGGAAGGGGTGTCCTGCTGGGGCGCTCCCTCCAGCAGAGGTGACCTGTTGGGGTGTCTCCAGTTGGTTCCCTCAGCAGGTATGCCCCTTCCCCTGGCTGGAATGCAGCTGCTAGGGCCTCCAGGTCTCCTAGGAGCAGAAGGCGTGGCCACGGCTGCAGACTGAGCCAGCCTCACCTCCCTGCCTGTCTCCTAGGTCACCCTGGCGAAGATGAGAGTGCACATTTCCTCCTGCCTGAAGGTCCAGGAGCAGATGGCCAACTGCCCCAAGTTCGTCCCTGTGGTACCCACGTCCCAGCCCATCCCCAGGTGGGAAGCCTCCCCTCCTTTCCATCTCTGAGCAGGTTGGGGGTGCTCAGTGGGCAAGTGACTCTAGGGAAGCCATGCCACTCATAGATGGGGACAGCTCAGGTGTGGGAGCCAAGATGGGGACCCACACCAGGCGGGGGGATGGACTAAGAGATGGCACCTCCCAGGGTGGGCAGCACAGGGTCTCCTCATTGGCCACACCCCCCTACCCCCACTGAGCCGGGGTGGGGGAGAGGGAGGTGGTTCCCTGTGCGGTTCTCAGCAGTCAGACCCGAGTGCAGATGTGTGGGCAGGTTTGGGCTGGTGGTCTTCAGGGCTCCAGCTCTGCCTCCTGCCTGCCAACCACGATGCTCCTGCAGCCATGCAGCAGTTGACTCCTGACTGGAATTTACAGAGCAGAGGGCAGGCTGGCCACTCTCTGTGTGAGAGAACAGGGTGGCAGTGCCCTTTGCTCCCTGACCCCACAGTTGCTCACTGTCCTCCTGCTCCACCAGCAACATCCCAAACAGGTCTACCTTCGCCTGCCCCTACTGCGGCGCCCGCAACCTGGACCAGCAGGAGTTGGTGAAGCACTGTGTTGAGAGCCACCGCAGTGACCCCCACCGCGTGGTGAGCGCCAGCTGGGAGGCCGTGGGCAGGGACTGCCTGTGGTGCCCAGCTGCCCAGGGCCTTCCAGGATCCCAGGGGTGGTGGCATGTCAGTCTTGGGGTGCAGTGAGTGCCACAGTGAACCCTCATGAGCCCCCATGTGTCCCTGGGCAGTGGAGGTCGAGTTCCCTGTGGGAAGCCCTGGCCACACACTGGCCCCTTTGTTCCAGGTATGCCCCATCTGCTCCGCCATGCCCTGGGGCGACCCCAGCTACAAGAGCGCCAACTTCCTCCAGCACCTGCTGCACCGGCACAAGTTTTCCTATGACACCTTCGTGGTGGGTGCCCTGCCCACACCCCTCCCTCCTCCTGCTCGACCCAGCCAGCTTTAGGGCCCAAGTGTCCCAAGAAGGCCAGAACAAAACCTGAGGGGCCCATTGGAACAGGACAGGCACAGGGGCCACTAGAGGACACTAGGCACCAGAGCAGCCACAAGTGCTCTAGTGTCCCTGAGGCGGCACCTGGGGGACAGAGCGCCTTCGGTGGGCCAGGCTTCCCAGGTGTTTCTGGAGGGAAGCTAGAGGACTCCCCCCCCCCGTGCTCTGCTCTGTCTTCCTCTGCAGTGGGTCTGGAAGGGAGCCCCCCCAGGCCTGTGGATCCCTCACAGCCTCTTCTCCCCTCGGGCAGCCCTTCCTCTCTGTTTACTCCACCTCCCACCCTGCCGGCCTCCAGCCACCCAAGACTCCTGCCGACTCCGGCCCACTGCTGGAGGTCTCCGAGCCTTCTGGCTTGCCTGTCATCTCAAAACCCCAGTTCTTACAGTCGGAGGCAAGAACGGCACTCCCACGGGTGCATCCACCCTGGAGCACGGTCAGGGCATGCAGTGTCTGCAGAGGCCAGGCCGCCCTCAGGACCAGCTTAATGCAGAACTAGGGAAGGCAGACAGGTGTCCTGTGCTGTGAGCCGTGATCAGGGAGACCTGAAGCAATGGAGCGAGTCTGTGTGGGGCAGCTGGGACCAGGAGTAGCCCAGCTCTGCAGGGGTCAGCTGGGCTCTTGTGACCTTGCCCATCTCCATTTGCTGTTTCCAGGACTACAGCATCGATGAAGAAGCTGCCTTCCAGGCTGCCCTGGCTCTGTCCCTCTCTGAGAACTGAAGGTGTAGCCAGCCACCTGCCCCTAGCCTGGGGTCCAGGACGCCCTCCCGCCTCAAGGAACAGGGCTGTTGCCCTCCTGCCCAGGAGCACACCTCACCGGGCCAAGTGGGATCTCCTGCACGAGGAGGGCTCATCCGAGAGCCTCTAGGGCTGGACCTGGCTGGCTACCCCTTGCCATCAGCAGGGCTGCCTGGGTCCTGGCCAGCCGCGCTGGGCATTCGGTGCTTTGAGGGGCAGGTGCTGCCATCTGGGACTTAGAGCAGTCGCTGTCTCTTCCAAGCCACGATGTCCTCCTTGCTGGGAAGCATGGGGTGCCCTGAGGTGTGCGGCTGCAGGAACGGGAGGAGGAGCCCCGCCGCCCGACGGGCATCCAGCTCGCTTCCACATACGCACCTGGTACTGGCTTTTGTGATACTTAGAAACCCCAGCGTTTTTCTATCTTATCCCATGTGATAATCTTTTCACGTTTTATAGAGCAAAGACGAAGCAGTTACCTTCATATTGCAATATCTGTGTTTGACTAGGAAGAATAGTATTTTTATGGAACATTTACAAAATTATATTTTTAAAAAAAAAGATTTAAAAAAAACGTGTAAGGGATCAGTGTGTGGAGTGCAGGAGCAGTGGGTGCTCTGGAACCAGAGGCAGCTGGTGTCCTCTGCAAGGGAACCGTGGTGGCAAACCCAGGCTGCTGCTAGCGGGGGCTCTGGCTTGTGGTTTATTTGGCGATAACCAGGAGAAGACACCGCTCCCTCCCTGACTGCCTGCCGAGGCTATGCCTACAGACGCAGGGTGGCCCGTGCAGTGTGGGGGCTTCCTCTGCCAGGTCCTGGCCTCGGCCCAGAGTCACCTTCCAGAGCAGACCACATCCTTCCCAGGCAGAGACTGCATCCGACAGTGGCAGAGTGTGGGGGGCCACCAGTGGCCTGCTGGGAGCTGGGTCATGCCAGAAAACACCTGTAGGCTCTCCTGTTGTGTCCATGGCATAAATTATTGCTGTCTTTTCAAAAAAAATTAAATGTTTCTGAGCATCTGCAGAGGCCTGTGTTGGTTCTGTTCTCGGTGCCCAGTGAGGACGCTGGAGCACCCGCCCTCCTCTGTCTGAGTCAGCAGCTGCTGCTATGGCTGTGCCGCCCCAGGTGCCCTTTCCCTGCTTTCCTAGCCTCTTGTAGGGGGCACAGAACCACTGAGAAGACCCTGGCCAGGCCGTCTCCCTCTGAAATGTCCCCCCAGGCTCTATTTCTGGCTGGCCTGGGGCTGGGTTCCCGGGTCACAGGCCTTGGGCCAGCTGCTCAGAACCTCTGAGGGGCCACCTTCACGGCCACAGGGTGCCTATGCCCTCAGGTCAACCAGAATCACCTCCCTGTGGCCATGCTCACAGGTGCCTCCCTGCTCCCTCGGTTCCCAGGTGGTGACCAGAGGCAGATCTCTGTTCTGGACAGTCCTTCTCAGGGGAGAGTGTTCTGCAGGGCTTTAGAGCATGGCGTGGACCAGGCAGGCCCAAGATCCACAGGTTGTAACTCGAGGTATCTGGTTGCTGGGCCAGCGTGCACACCTTTAAGAGCAGAGTGGCCTCCAGGTGCTTTTGTGGAAGACACCAGAGTTCCACCTCCTCTGCCATCTGCTGTGCAGTTTCTGTGCCTGGGAGGCCCTCTCTGGGTTCTGGGCATCAGCAGAACTTCAGCCAGCCTGTGCTCCCCATTGCCTTCCAGGAAGAGGCCAGAGACACAGCACCCTGGAACCAAGTGAGGCCGAAAGCCCTCAGAGCAGGGCTGGTTGTGCTCACCCCCTGGTTGCTGGCCCAGCCTGCCACCCTTGGGCAGCCACCTGCTGTCCCGTGGGAACTGAGGTTGCTGTTCTTGCAGGCCCAGGCCTGCGTGCCACTGACAGAGGAGTCGTCATGGGGCATGACCCCTCGTGCCCAGGCAGCCCAGAGGTAAGCCCTGTCTCAGCAGGGCCTGACCTCAACAACATCTCTCTGCTGACCGCCCACCCGCAGGGAGACGCCACCAAGTTTCTCTGTCTCATCTGCAGAGGCCACAGTGTCTGCCAAGTCATTGAGGTCTGCACCGCCACGGGAAGGAAGGGAGGAGCTCTGCTGGCTTCCTGTGAGTGCTGTGTGCAGGGTGCCTGGGATGAGGCCAAATGGGGCCCAGAGGGGACCTGAGCCCCTGGAAGGCAGGAGCCTGGGGAGGGGAATAAGGTACAACTGTCCCAGGTGGGGTCAGGATGTCACAGGGACAGGGCTGGAGGGGAGCCCTTTCCATGGGCCCAGCTAGATGGGCCACTGTCCTCCAGGACCAGGTGGCCCATGCTCCCCCCTGGATGAACAGTAACCACAAGCCTGCCACATGCACAACAGAGACCCCAGTTAAACCAGAGGGAACCAGCACCAAGAGGAGGAGGAGGAGCCAGGGGGTCATGCCGCTCCTGGCTCCCAACCTGTCCTTCCTTTCCAAACACTGGAGTCCAACCTGCCCCTGCCTGTCCAACCTCCAGATGGCAGCTTTAAGGCTCTGGGATCAGGTGGGAAAGCCGAGAGGGTCTGCTCTGCCCTTCCCCTGGTCTGGTGTCTGGAGCATTTGGGGCCAGTCACCCCTAGCAAGGCCACAGGATGGCATCCAGTGGAGGTGCTCCCTCCGTGGGCATTGCCACATAGCCTCAGTCCTCCCTCAGTTGTCAGAGCGGGGCTGGGAGACAGCACAGTCTTCGCAGGCCTCAGGCAAATCAGCCAGTGGCTTGTCAGGTGGCCCCTCGGCCCACATGCAGCCACCCTCTCTAGGCGGGGGTCTCCCTCTACCCTGAGCCATGTAAGCATGCATGGCTCAGCAGGAAGCCAGCGGGGCCTCACCCCCAGGAGCCTGGGCTCTGTTCCCTACAGGGTCCAGGGAATCAGGCCCAGGCCAGCAGCAACATGCCCATAGTTTCAGATTATGCAATGGTGTGGGAGCTTGCACCCCACTTCCTAGAAAGTGCCCCCAGGCCACCAGGTACCTGGAGCCTCTCCGTGAGGAAGGGGTCAGGCAGCCAGCCCAAGGCAGATGCTCAGAGAACAGAGGTCCTTGACCTCAGAACCGGCACCTTGCACCAGACTCAGGATTCCTGAGAAACTGTCTGGGAGTCATACTTCCATGTCACCTGAGCTCTGTGCACTCAGTGGCAGCAGGTGGACACAATAGGTCTGCAAGACCCAGCCAGTGCTGCAGATCTGCCAGTGTGCACAGGTCCCCCCGCCACAGCTTGTGCTGCCTGCCTGTGCTAGCAGCCCTGCGCCGTGGCCCCTCAGGCACTTCTGGGCAGTGCCTATGCTCCTGTGGAGCAGGAGGACCTCATCTGGGGTTCGTGAGGTCCCAGAGAAACAGAAGTAGCTGCTTCTGTTTCATGAGCACCTGCCGAACCCCTGCTGAGAGGAAGGCGGGGCCCTGGCACCTGGACACCTGGCAGCCCCCAGGACTGTGCTCCCCAGCACCTGGGAGGAGAAGGGAGCTGTCCTCATGCCACAGTTCAGGCTCAGGCCCCTCCCCTGGACACAAAATACCTGGTAGGCTGAGCGCCACTGCTGCCCTCCCTCCCATGACCCTCCTTCAGACACCAGACTCTCCCTCTGTCACCTCACGGAACACATTTTTGGGGAAAGAGGCTTAAATTCACTCACAGCAAGGTGTCAAGGACTGACACAGCCCAAAGCTGAACACAATGGAACACGCCCGTAACCCCAGGGACTTGAGAGGCCAAGGCAGAAGGATCTCAAGTTCAACACAAGTCCGGCCTGAACAATTTAGTGAGACCATATCTCAAAATAAAAAGTAAAATGAGTCGGCATGGTGGTCTGTGCCTGTGACCCCAGTTATTCAGGAGGCTGAGGCAAGAGGAACACGAATTCAAGATCAGCCTCAAAAAATAAATAAAATGGGCTAGGATCGTAGCTCAGCGGCAGAGCACTCCTGGGCTCAACCCGAGTACAGCAAAACAAAAACAAAAGTGGCCCCAGGGAGGTCTCTAAGTGCAGACTCTGGGAAGCAATTGGGGTGGTTTGTGCAGGGTAACAGGAAGACCTAGGGTGGTGTCCCGGGCAGAACCTCAGGCAAAGGAAGTAGATAGGACCCTGAGCCCTGGGCTTGGACTTTCTCTCCATCTGTGGAACAGGAAGAAGAGCGGAGGCTGGTGAGGCTCTTTGCAGACCTGTGCCTCCCTGACCCTAGGAGCGCCTGGAGATGGGAGGCGAGTGCACACGTGTGTGAGGAGTGGGCCGCTAGGAATTGGGGGAGGTGCTTCCTACAAGCTCTGGACAGATGTGCTGTGGGTCACCACAGACAAAGCTCTGATAATCCTCCTGGGCCTCAGAGTCAGGCACAAGCCCCAGCCTGCAGCTCTGTCCATCTAGGATGCCATCTCCATGAGCGTCCCAGGCTGCTGGGGCAAGGTGCCAGGGATGGCAGTGGGAACCCCAGAAGTCTGATCTCTGTAAGTTCTGGAGGTCAGGAGTCTAGCACAGAGGTGGACAGGGCCCTTGAGAGGATAGCCCAGGCCTCAAAAGCTCCTGGCAGTTCAAGCCTTTGGCTTGTGGAGCCTGGGCCCCGTGCCTCGCGTGGTCTCCGCTGGGGTCTGAGTTCAGGTTTCCCCTTTTTATGAGATGCCAGTCATTGGATTAGAGCCGGCCCTGACAGGCTCATCCTGATCTGGTCACATCTGCAAAGACCCTGTCTCTGAATAAGGTCTTGTGCATGGGGACGGGGAGGACTCCAGCATCTTTTGGTAATTCAACTCACGACCATCTGTCTTCAGGCAGACAGGCCAAGATATGGACAAGCTGGGAGCCACCTCTCTTGGGCACATTGGGCAGGAAGTTCTGTTAGAGAGAGCCATGCTGGCTCCCATTCTTGTGAGGGCAGTGTCCTGGCTGCCTTGAAGCCTGCCCTGCCTGGAGGGCCACTGGGGTGCCGCCTGGCAGAAGGTGGCTGAGACCTGCTGACCAGGAGCCCTGCTGAATGTGGCAGGTGACTCAGTATGCAGGTTGGTGGGGAAGGGACTGCCTGCGCTGGGTCCTGCCGTGTTTGGCCCCCAGGTCTCAGCACCTTGGAGCAAGGCTGCAGTGAGCTGTGAGCCCCAGAGACAGGCCTCCCTGCGCTGTTGGCAGGACAGGCTGGCCTTGTTGGCCTTTGTCCTCCTTGTGGCTGGACTAGAGAAGCACAAGACACTGAGTGAGTGAGCGAAGGACATCAAGTGCCCTGGAGACCCGCCCCCCAACCCCCCATGACAAAGATGGCCTGCAAAACATCTCCATGGCTCCAACACCGGCAGGGAACCAGGCGTTACTGACAAGCAGCCCAGTGGGCACCCAGCTCCCTGCTGGGACCAGGCTGGAACCTCACCCCACGGAGCCCTCCCTTCATGGCCCTGGACTCACTCCCTCCAGGCCACATCTGATCCTGCTCCTGGAACTTCACAGGAGCACACAGACACACACTTGCACACGTGTGCGAGTATACAAGCACACAGAGCACCTCCTGCCAGCCCCTCTGCCCTCCCCAGCACCCCTCCTCAGCCCCCAGCCCGGCTGTCTTAAGGGACCATGTCTATCTCCCAGGACCCCCACATCATAGGAACCATTCACCTCTAACAGGCATGGTGTGGGCACCTGTGAGTGCTAGTGAGTTCCCTTCACTGAGGATGACCAAGCACATGCAGGCCTTTAGGAGTTCAGGCATCGGGCTCCAGTTTCCACAGACCTTGGACAATGGTGGGGCTGCCCCAGGTCAGAGCATGATTGGGTCTAATCACATCCACCTGCCCTTGAGGACTGTGCTGCCCCTCACAGTGCCAGCCTCTGCCCCACCTCTCAGGACAGCTAAGCCCTCAGCTGCCTGGGTCAGACTGGGGCCTTGTACCTCCCCACGTCCCCCCCACCACGGGCACAGAGGGGTCTCATGCCCTCAGAGAACCCTAGGGCACCGGGCAGGTGTTCCAGCAAGGCCAGGCTGTTTGGGGGCCCTGATTCTTTTCCATCCAGCTCAACAAGCATTGGTGGTCCCACTGT